CCACAAGCTTTGGAGACTCCCAACTAATACCTAACCAATATAGGAGACACCACTCTCTAAAAGATAATAGTTGTTCTATTTAAGGATGAACTCCTTGCTCTTGTGCTTCAAAAGATAGTCTCCTCAACACTCAATCACTCTCTCACAGATTTGGCATGGTGGTGGAGAAGGATTGGAGTCGAAAGCAACTTGAGGGGTATAGAAATCAAGGGTCAAATGGTTGGAGTGGAATCCCTTGATCTCAACACAAGTGTAGATGGTTCTCTCTTAGAAAATGGAAATGGGAAGTGGTGGCTTCATCCTCGTTGCTCTCTTTGAGAGTAGGTGGTGTTGGTGGGGTATATATAGCCATCACCAAAGATCTAGCCGTTATACACCTTTATGCACAACTCGGTGGAACCGGGTCAAAAACTCGGAGGGATTGATTAGTGTAAAAGGTCTGAACTTCAAATGCTTTGGTGAGATCGGATGAATCTACTCGGTGGGACCTAGTTGAGATGACCTAAGCACTATCAGCGTTTCGGCAGTTTCGATCGGTTTCACTCAGTAATTTCAAAATGGAGTCGATGGACTGCAGAAAGTTTTCCAGTGCACTTCGGTGGGACCGATTGCCATCTCTATGAGACCGAGTTTCTAGGGTTTAGGCAGTGGCTTTGTCTAATGTATCTCAGTGGGTCCAGATGTATGTGTTTCAGTGGGACCGAGAATAACTTTAGGGTTTTTGGCAGATTGGATTGTGAGGGTGTGGTTGAGGATTTTGGAGCAATATCTTTAAGCACTTGAGGAAATGACTCATGATCAAAACCTCATCCCCTTGTAATAGTATTGGCTTTCCTATGGACTCAATGTGATCTTGGATCACTTAACCAAAAATGTAGAGTCTTGGAGATTTTGCCAATATATGTCCTTTCATTTTGAGGGGTCCACATTCACATGTCCTTGTCATACCTACATTGAACTTTCCTGAAATAATCTTTGAATAGGCATTAGTTCAATGAAGTATATATTGTTACGAATTACCAAAACCACCAGGGGATTAGTTGCACTTTCAGCCTCGGACTAGGGCAGAAGGGCGGCGAGGGTGTAGGGAGGTGGTGGGTAGCCATCGGCGATGACGCAACGCGTGTTGAGGATGGTGCGGGCGTGCAAAATAGTCTGCAATTTTACTCGACTGGGTGGAGGCCGAGTAATGTTAGGAGTACATGGTGCCAAAGAGTATAATTTGTTCTCCGCTAAGGGTTATACGAGTTCGGCTAGGTGCTGTTAGAGGAGCAAACCGGGCATTTTTACTCCGCTAACCGATTATAGGGGATCGGTTAGAGTTGCTCTAAGGGGGGTTACGGGATGGGAACATGCAAACGTGGAGGTTTATGATTGGAATTAGGGGGAGTGGTTATAGTTAGAAAACATCTATAAAATGCATGTAAAACCTCTGTAGGTCTAGCATTTTCAGCCAACCCGGTGCACCAAATAAAAGTGGACACATCATTTTTATTAATATTTAGCATCTTTTTTACATAGCAAAAGTTAATTGACCCTAGTCTACTCTTCATTAGTTGTGGGCATGTTCGTGTTCCACGATCTACTCTTTGCCGGACGTGGTCACATCCGTCTCCCATATCCTACTCCTCGTCGGAGTCTGTGGCCTGGCTGTGGGGTCGCCGGTGGAGGTGAGGTGGACGATTGACATTGACGGTCCGACCTTGTAGTCGTTGCGGCCTGCGAAGGGCCCTGACATGGTGCCTAGTAGTTCGTAGAGCCGATTCCCATGTGACGAGGCAACGCACGCCCGAGATGTAGGAGCTGAGATGGGGGCGACGGCGGCGGTCAACTTGGCCAGTTCCAATGGCGTTGACCGGCGTGGGCTTGGGCGTGGGCCTCCTACGCAACTCCGAGGTTGGGCAGCTCGGTTCCCGACCAGAGTGGACCTCGTTGGGGATGGGGCGGAGCTACGCGCGGCGGTGCCAGCGAGTGAGGAGAAGGTGCGGGAAAGGGCGGTGGTGCTAACCAGTTCCAATGCTGAGGGGGGTCGACGATGGCAAGTGGTAGGACGAGGTAGGTCGGAACTGAAAGGGAGGTAGGGCGCTCGCCCAAATTTACTGAGAAGTGCTCTCTTATATTAAGTTTGGTTTTTTACAATGAAAACAGTAGGAAAGTCTCATACTGCATATATTTTTATGTTAATATGAGGGGCGAGTTACGTGTTACATCTGTACAGGGGGTGAGGATGTGGTATACAAACAGGGGCTATTCAACTAATGGTATCCAGCGATGCAGTAATAAACTGCACTTTGTGTGTGTGGGGGGGGGGCTATGTCTCAAATTGGAAAAATCGGTCTTGAATCTCAGCTTCCAAGATGAAATGGTGGGCGCCACATTCCTGAAGTAGTTGTTGTTTCGTTCTTTCCATAGGCTCCAAGCAGATATTATAAAGATATCCATTAGCATTTTACGGTTGTGCAACAATTTCTGTTGTTTGATGAGTTCAATCCTGTGATCATGGGGGGTCCACTGGATACCAAGGATTCTCCAACATTCCTCGTTGAATCGGCAGTGGAAGAACAAGTGTTCAAATGTTTCTTCAATATGATCACCACAAAGCAGGCAGTCTAGATTACTCCCAATGTTATAGTGTCTCATTTTGAGCATGCTTCTGGTGTTGAGGCGGTCAGCCAATAAAAACCAGTCAAAGACTTTAATCTTATGAACACTTTTGGATTTCCACAGCCATTTGAATGCATCATGGGCGACAATCTCCCTAAAATAGAAATTGTAGTACGCTGTTGTTTTAAAATTTGTTGCACCCCAGATACATGCCCATACGTCATGTGTTCGAGAGAGTTCAGTGTTGAGCACCTCTCTTTGAATCTGTTTCACTTCCTCATGTGCCTGAATTGATAGGGAGAGATGAAAGACCGCATGCAGCGTGGTGGTTGTGAGTAGGGCTGGAAAAAAAGCTCGGAGCTCGCGAGCTAAATGAGTCGCTCGTGACTCGGCTCGAATCGACTCGAACTCGAAAAATAACGAGTCGAGCCGAGCTTTAGTTTAAGATCGTTTATAGACCAAGTTAAACGAGCCAATCTCACGAGTACTCATGTAACTCGTTAGGCTCGGTACAAAAGATCAGCCACTCCCAATACAAAAAAGATCAGTCACTCAGCATCATATGTCTCAGGCGCACAACACAAGGCCTAGCCGCTGAAGGCTCAATCGCCTAGGAGACTCATGTGTTACAAGGAAATTACTATTGTTTAGTGATATATATGTTTAATATATACATAATCATTTTATAATATATGAGGGTTTTATGTTCATATCTTTAACGAGCTTAACAAGCTAAACGAGTCAGCTCACGAGTTATACGAGTCGAGCCAATCTTGTATCTTCAATGGTGGTGTATGAAACGAGTTCTAGCGAGTCGAGCCGAGCTAGCTCGTTAACGAAACGAGCTCTAGCGAGTCGAGCCGAGCTAACTCGACTCGGTTCGAATTCCAGCCCTAGTTGTGAGGAAGTCATTGACTGATGCATCTTCAATGGTGGTGTATGAGTATGCACGTGGGAACTTCTCGGTATATATATTTTGGTTTTAGTTATCTTTCCAAAAGAGAGCCGAGGAGCCACTGCCTATCTGAATTTTGGTCACACCATGGTAGATTGGCATGAGGTGAATCAGGTCTCTTATATTAAGTTACAAAGAGAGTATAAACTAGAGAGCCGAGATATGGGGATGAAATTACTATTTTGACACGGTCATGTCATAGTGTCAAAAAAATGTCTTAGATTACCCATAATGGGAGTAACTTCATGAATAACATAAGGTTCAACTCAGCACATTTGCTTATGTGGCAATGATGATTTAATGAGGAAAGAGATGATTTGAGTAACATAGTTAGCTACTCATACTACGGGTGGGAGCGTCTGTCTTACTATGGTCGCTTTGGCTATATAGAAATGATTGTGTTTTTAATGGCAAAAAATATTCTTCTATGTACTCCCTCCGTTCTTTAAAGAGTGTGCTTCCAACTTTGTTGGAAAGTCAAACTTTTTTATATTTGACCGTGTTTATATAATAATACATCAACATTTATGCCATCAAATTAGTAGAATTAGATTCGTGATAAAATATACTTTCATCATATACCTATTTGATTTCACAAACATTGATATATTTTTGCACAAACTCGGTCAAACTTTGAAATACTTTAACCCTCCAACAAAGTTGGAAGTACACTCTTTAAAGGACGGAGGGAGTAGGTTATTTACAGTTGTACGCATTGGCTTCGTATGTGGTCTATTATGCACCGAACGGAGTACCAACCGCTGTTCAAGGCGGTGTGTACGCGGTTGAAGCGGGTGGCCAGTGAGGTTTTTAACCAACATGGGTGGAAGCAGAATCTCCGAATCGGGCCACCTACTCCGTCGACATAGGCATAGTTTCGGTCTCATATGGTTTTATTGTTGCCACTTTATCATTTTTACTCTTTGCTAGACTGTTCGTGTGATGGATGTGTACATTTTAGCTATGCAGAGGCAGGGTGTCACTCTTTATGCTATGTATCCGCTCGATGCTACATTTTAAGTTAATAAAAGCGCCTTTTATCAAAAAAAAAACATATCAAAATAAGATAAGTCTACAAACTAATAAATGAAGTGTTGCATGACACCATACATATGTTACTTCCCACTATTGAGATAGTAACATAAACTAGTAACATATGCATGTTGCCACCATGAGCAGTCTTATAATGAAATTGTTATTTTTGAGGAAATTAATGATTTGAGAGATGGGTAGAGGTTTAATTATCCATGCCACAGATTTTTAGACAAAGATGCCCTCCTACTTATATTAATTAAGATATACAAAGAAGAAAGGAAGAAATGTACAAACCCCATGACAAAGGTGCCTACGTGTCTGATACTACTAGCAAACAGCAAGTGAATAAAGTGTATATGTACGGGACATTCCTGTATATAGCCTAATGAACATGTGGAAATTCAGGTCAGAAGTTCTCCTTGTGGAAGACGAACTTGGTGGTGGTCCGGTGCGAGAAGTCGTGCGACAGCCGCCTGAGCTCCGGCGTGAGCTTCTGGTCGCCGCAGTAGAAGACCCCGACGCGCTGCCCCTGGTGGTCGCAGGCGACGCGCTTGAAGACGTCTCGCCAGCAGGGCCTGGCGAAGTGGGTGCGGACGCGGGTCCCGGACACCACGTCCACGCCGCTCTTGGCGTGGTGGAGCGCCTGCAGCATCACCACCATGGCCGACCGCGCGTCGCCTTCCTCGTACACGCTGGTGCAGTGGTTGTGCAGCTCCACCACGGACTCCTCGCCGGCGGCGTCGCGCTCCGCCACCTCGTTCATCACGCCGCGGAACCACTCGAAGGAGCCTTCCTCCCGCGTGCACCAGTAGAAGTAGACCCGCTTCGTCATGAACCCCTCCTCGCCCTCCTGCCCCTGCCCCTGCCCCTGCCGGTGGACGTTGTTGAGCACGTCCTTGACGATGCTGATGAGCGGCGTGGCGCCGATGCCGAGGCCTATGAGGAGGAGCACGTCGTACTTGCGGTAGTCCTGCGCCGGCGCGCCGTAGGGCCCGTCGATCAGCAGCCGCGGGAACCTGCACACGCCAGCATCAAGGAACAATCAGACAAGTTCAGAACCACCACCATGGACGCCGACGGTCCTTGCTGCTCCTACTCCTACTTACTTGGCGTTGGCGTTGTGCTCCACCATGGACGTGAAGTCGGCTCTCAGGAGGCCGCTCTGCCCTGCCGACGGTGGCCTGCATATCTGCGACCACAACAACCATTGTTAACAGCGAATCCTTCTCCTTCCTGCAAGGGAAACGCGTCGGCTCGATTCCTCTGCCAGTGCTGTGCTTACCTGGGAGAAAATGGCCCTGAATCTGCTCGTCCAGTCGCCCCGGCACCGGATGTGCATGCTGAGGTAGTCGTCGCCGGGAGCCGAGGTGATGGTGAAGGGGTGCCTGCATTGCAACAGCAGCTTGTCAGCTCAGGTGCACGGCTGCTACATTCGTAGCGACGCGGAGACGATGGAAGCCATGGGCGCTCACCACTCGAACGGCGAGACCTCGCCGCAGTTGACGTAGATGTACTGGCCGCTCCTGTACCTGAAGCCGTGGGGCTTACTCATGTGGATGGCTATCACATTCCCAGGATACACCGCCACCTTCTCGATCCTCACGGTGGTGAGTCCGTGCGACCTCAGCGCCCGAAGAAGCCGCTCGCCGGCGTACAGCAACACGGGGACGGCAAGGTACATCCATGTCTGAAGTTTCAAAAAGAGTTACCACCAAACATAGTCCGCATCTGAGATTGCAAAGGAAGCGTACGGAGACCGTAGCTCACCGTCTGCTTGTACCATGTCCGGTTGATGTAGAGGCAGACGCCGTGGACGACCAGGGCGACGTAGACGACGACGAAGAGGTGGTGGGAATACCAGAACATGTTGAACCCGCTGAGCCTCTTGAGCGGGTTCCCCTCGCCGAGCTTGCTCCGGCGGAACCGCGGGTGCGCCAGCGTGTATGCGACGGCCATGAGCACCACCATGATGACGCCGGTGACGCCCTCCACGCCCCGCACGAACCACCAGTAGTCCGGGACCCTCGCCTGCCCGAAGTAGCGCTTCATCGGCTCGTACGCCTCGTCGCTGGCGCGGAGCAGGCGCGGGAAGTCGCACGTGAGGTGGGTCACCCCGTGCAGCGCCACGCCGACGGCCACGCCCCCGGCCACCACCTTGTGGAAGTTGATGTTGTCGTTGAAGGGCACGGCGGCGCCCAGCCTGGTCCGGGAGCGGAGCCAGGTGATGGTGTTGCGGCACACGGGGAGGAGGATGAGGGCCATGTTGAACTTGGTGGTCTCGGCGCCGCCCTTGGCCACGCACACGCAGTAGCCCATCACGTCGAACGTCGGGTGGCGGCGGTACGCGTAGAACTTCCAGGCGAAGAGGCCGGCGTTGATGGACAGCCACAGCGCCATCACCCACACGCGCTTCCAGTTGTCCTCCAGGAAGTAGCGCGCCGCCGTCAAGCCCCGCCGGAGCGGGTTCGCGTCCGGCGCCGGCACCAGCCTCTGGCTGATCAGCTGGCTGATGTTGGAGCTGTGCGCCACCAGGCTCGTCGGCGCCTGCGAAGGGGGCAGCAGCAGCAGGGACTCCAGTGTCGCAAGCTGTAGAATTTTCATATATTTTTCCAAGACGAAAATGGAGTTGTCAGTATCACTGTCAGTGAAGAGTGAACTGCCAACAATTTGACAACCAATTCCACGGAAAAGAGACGAAGGGTGAGAGAGGATGGACCTCGATGTAGCCGAGCTGGTCCGGGTCAAGCTCCTCCATGATCAATGCCGTGTACTCGTCGACGCGCTCCAGGATCTTGGTGAGCTTGTTCGCGGAGGCCGTCAGAGTGAGGACCTGACAAGGCAACAGAAATTCAGAAGCATTCCAGATGCCTTGCGTCGAACAGAGAACCATTCGGATCTTTGCATGATTTTTGCTGTTGTTTAAATTTTTGCTTTTCACTCACCTCTTTGAGCTCCTCTTCAGTGATCCGACCATCTGCATTCTTGTCAACCCTGCAACAAGTTTAGTACAATTGTCACTTTTTTTACATCAAACTTAATTTCGAAATGTCAAATTTGGTCCACATTTCAGTTTACAGACAAAGTTGAACTTTGAGATAGGATTTTATTGGAGACGTACATGTCGAAGAAAGTCTGGAGCTTGGCATCAAAGCCTGGATCTGATAGCTGCTCCCAGAACTCACGGAGCTCATCCTTGGTCAGCACCTGAGCAACGATCCCCCTTCGCCGTGCAAGCGCGTCGAACATCTGCGCCGCGAACTCCTCCGACCCAACCATTCCTAGAACACAAATTTGGGAAGATCATTTCAGAATCGGTGCTGTTGCACACTGACCGAAAATTCAGACATTCTTTTTCCTTATAATAGTGAAGCTGACGCTTCAGAGAAATGGATGAGTGAGCGGGCTTACCAATGCACTGGCCGAAGCGTGAGCGGAGGAGCAGGCCGTCGACGGCGAGGCGGTCGAACCGCTTCTCCGCCTCGGGCCAGCTGCCCCGCGTGACGACGCTCTGGTTGAGGAAGTGGAGGCCCCTGAGCGCGCGCGCGGCGCCGGTCATGCTCCGGTCCAGCCGGCGCTGGCTCGCCGGCGCGTTGTCGCCGCCCCGCTTCGCCGACGCGATGCGCCTCAGCTCGGCCTTGAGCCTCGAGGACAGGCCGCCGCTCCGGGGCAGCAGCGCCGCGTCGGGCGTCTCGCCGGCGGCCCTGACGCCCTGGACGGCCACCGCGTCGTCGGCCCCGACGTCGAGCGTGACCTCCACGTACTCGTTCTCCTCCTTGAACCGCGTGCTCCGCCGGCTCCCGCTCTTGCCGTCCGCGCCCTTGTGCTCCTCCGGCGGTGGCCCGGCATTGGCATTGCCGTTCCCGGGCTGCCTCTCCATGCCCGTCAGCCGCGGTCGTCAAGCAAACTAGCGAGCGATGCGATGCGACGTGGAGAAACAGCTGCATTTTGGTGAGGACACGGCTGTAGCAGCATTTTGAAGGTTTTTGTGTCCGTTTGCTAGTGTTTTTTAAGGTTTGGTGAGAGAAGATTCAAGAGGAGAGGAGGGAATGGGGCATGATGGAAGGTGGTGGAATGGAATACAGTGGGCGCCCGCCCCTGTCTCTCAACTCAACTCTGATGGCTTTGCGCAGTCCGGCAATCCAGCTTCCAGCCCCTGGTTAGGGAGGGGTGGCCTTCAAAACCAGTGAAGACATCCAATCGTCATTTAACAATGCCGTTCAGGATATGTGCATGTGAGGCTATGGCCTGTTCTCAGAATGTGGTCTTCCAGTCCGGTTCCCTTGCGTATAAAAAAAGGAAAAAAAATTTGGAGTGCTTAGATTCTCGCTACATGTACTGTGTCTGAATGTTTGGAAACAGCTGTTCCCTCCCGTTGAAGAAATTTAGGGCCTCTTTGATTCGCAGGATTTTCAAAACACAATAATAGGAAAAATGCAGGAACAGAGTGACATGTCCTATAGTACCCTATAGGATTTGGGAGGATGTTTGATAGCGCATGAAAAACAAAGGAATCTTACAAAGAGGTATGAGTGGATGGAAGGTTTCCTTCAAAATGTAGTACAAATGGATCCTATGAAAAAATTCCTACTGATTCCAATCCTACAAATCAAACAACCATGATAGGAAAAATTCCTAAGGGTCTAAATCCTTCAAAAATTCTATGAAATTCCTTTGAATCTAACGAGCCCTTCTAACGTGGTAGCTTTGCGCTGGGCAAGAAGGTGAAGGAAAAAAAAGGGAAAACCATGGTCAAAGCACGTAGAGCATCATACAAGTCCAAGTGACGAGGGTTGTTGAGCGTGCAAGCTTGGAATTTGAGCACAGCTGGATGGGCTGGGCATAAGCACCCACCCCCGCGTCCTACAGCACAGCACGTCACCCACGGGACAAGGAAACAACGGAACTATGAGAGAGAAAACCACCGGCGGCCGCCGCCAAGGGATTACGGAGTGGAGACTCTCTTCTTCTTCTTTTTATAATGTCTGGTCACCTTCTTTACCGTTATTTTAGACCTACGTTCTCGGCCTCGCCCAGGCGACACCGGGGTGTGTGGTTCACTGTAGCAAGGAAGGGCAAGAATCGACATACTACACACCCTTCACTGTAGTACATAAGCGCAAAATTTTGAAAGCCAGAAAGATTGTAGGGCAAGATTTAGGGGGAAAAAACTAATGATCTACCTGCGCAGCAAATGCTAACTTCTCTTCTTCGACTTTTAGTCTATTTCAGTACACAAGTACTAACTTTAGCACAAAGTTGTATTAAGGTTGAGACACTTATTTTGGAACGGAGGGAGTATGTACTAACATCTCTGCACTTAACACCATCTACCGAGACTTCTAATGTTTCCAGTCAATCCATGCTCTCCCACATACCAAAACCAAAGTAGATGAGCTGCGCATTGATAATTAGCTTACTTTAGTCATATATGCATCTTTGTCGATTCAAAGCACAAAAACATTTGGACAACTCTTGGTAGCATCTAGTGTGCCTCTTCATTACCACAACAAGGCCATACTCTCCAAGAACAACAAAAAGAACAAGAATGTGCTATGAATTAACCTAACTCAGTGTACATAATTTTGCGCCAATTTGCAGTGTACTCACGAAAATGTACAGCATATATGTCCCAAGAAGCAAAAAAAAAAAAGCAACATCAGCTGTAGTACAAAGAAACGAGACAAATTAGCAAGTCTGTTAGGAGAAGCCCAATCGCGTCAAATACATATTTCGGTGCAAACAAACCCCACACCTGCAAAGTTGAAAGATAACTAGTGTCAAAACAAATCTGCGAAAACAACCGCAAAGCAGCAACACAGCGACTACTGTTTGCTGGAATTAAGTGCACATATTACCATCAAGTGACGCCTTTGAATCGTGACGCATACGATTGTAACTGTCGTAGTGATAGCTGTAATTAGACCATACATCAAATGGACCTGAGTTTGGCACATAAACATTAGATATCACGTGGATCAACAAGACAAGAAATAGACGATATCCGGATCAACATAAAGAGTTCCACAATGCATGATAACACTATTTCAGTATGTGGTCGACAGTTAGGGAAATCTAGGTTGGTGTTTGTTTGTAGTCCAACATGGCTGTGCCTAAACAGTAAACACTGGCTGTCCATATTATTTTCCTGAATATGAAACTTTTTTCTAAAAGAGAATATTTAACTACTGAAATCATGTTACTAAATTACTGCCATAGAGCACAGATGAATTTCTTCAGTACCTGTATTAGAATATTGATGGTGACATCCTTCACCTTGCTTTTCTTCAATGCAGTATTATAACAGTGGATGGCAATAAATGGAAGACTAAGAACTGGCAGGATGTGAGAAACACCAAAGGTATCGATAGAAAGAAGAAACCCTTGACGAATGATATGGAAATTGTCAAACCTACAAAATTTAGAATTGTGACAAATATCATTAGTTCATTACATAACATGCAAGTGAATTTTTTTCTCAGATACAACAGTATTATTTGGAACATAATTATACTCACCCAATGAATGCAGCACCATAGCGAAGGCCATCAAAGGTACACCTGAAATGTATTATGTATTAGCACAAATGCAGTTTTAGCAATACCATCTAACAATGCAAATTAAATCACATTAACCATAAGCTCAAAACCCCATAACAGTAAGACAAATGGACATGCATCATCTCTCGGACTAGTAAAAACATAGTACATAAAAAACATGAAAGAGAAGCATAAATCAGAGTAAAAGAAAGGTCAAAATGCATCAGGATCTCACCAGTGACCAGTCAGATAGAATAGACAAACTGCAAGAAGGCTCCATTGTGTTACTGATACAGGGTTAGCAACACAACTCCCTGTTGCATCAAGTTTCAAGTCTTTCTGATATTTCTGCTGAAACATTATTATGCACCAAGCTGCAAAATGGTTAATTAAAATTTTCAGATGCTATGCTTCCTAATGATGATATAAAAGGAAAAAAAAGGCTCAAGTTGTGCCTCAAGCAGTACATGCCAAAATTTTAGAAGCGCTTGTCTTAAGAATTGAGTGACTTGCAAATTACCTCCAGTGATGCAAATTAACGCTACAAAAGCACCTTGCCTTCCCAACAACATCAAGATAGTTGGGCTCCATGAACACAGCATGGCAGCTGATAAACTAGTTATCCTTTTGTTGAACTTCAAAGAATCAACTGGGGCAAACAATCGCCAAAGCACAGATATTACCAATGACAAACCTCCAATAGCATAAACAAAGCGAGGAGCCAAACTTCTTCCAATTTCTTGAACAGCTTTAGTATGAGACAGTAAAGTACTTTCGGAAGCCCAATAATTTGCTATAAATGTATAGCTCAAGATGGTTGCACACATAATGAAGTACTTCAAGAACCTCTGATGGACCGCATAGGTGATGAGCTTTAATACAATGCAGGTCACCATGGCAAGAGATATGATGGGGAATATATCCATGGAGACATTGCAAAAACTGGAACCAAAAATGTCACAAACGATGCTCACTGGGTGGTCTTTTGTAACAGTTGGCCCAGCAATTTGTTTTGACATCCCAAGCTCAATTCCAAATCGTGCAAAAATATTTAGAAGAAGGAAAATAAACTCCTGTCAATTAAAAAAGTAAGGTGGGATCAGAAGATAATTATATAACCAACATTAAAACAAAAATTCTAGTGAACGAAGGAAAGTTTGAACAGCATTGATATGATAGGAATATTAACTTCTATGGTGAAGTTCCCGTTTGTGGCCGAGCTCCACACACTGGCAATGCAACTCGTGGCCAAAAGAAAGTTTGTAACTCTACCTTCTGCCACTGCATGACAAGAAAACAACTTCGTGAATCAGTAGTCACCATCGCGAATTCAAAATGTACAGCAAGATTGGTATATCTGATGAACTCACATATATAACTGTTGGATAGTAAACTCGCTGCTCGAATCGTGACCAATGTAAAAGCAAAGAATAATTTGGGGATGATCCTTGAACTAGCACATTCCTGATCTGATGGTTGACATACAGCATTCAGCCTCACAAGTATGTATGCCTGAGTGATAACTGACAGTATCATAAGTAAAAGACCAGTGCCCATCAACCATAAATCAAACTCCGTCCAAGCAGAGCGAGCAAGCTTTGCAAAGCTTTCCAAGAAGCTAGAGTATGCATCAATTTGCAACTGCAGAGCAGAACTTGCGCTCTCCTTAAATTCTTCTCCCTTAGCTGTTTCCGATGGGCATGTAGACTTCAAAACCTCTGACCAGTTCGCCTGAGCTTTTGAATACAGCTCCTCAACATGGTGTAGGTATTCAGCTGAAAATCCAATGATAGAACTACCAGAATATTGATCAATGTATCTCTTTACCTACAAGGGACAGATGAAGATCAAAGAAGTACTACCAAATCAGCATATCTGCAAATGCAGTTCATACTACCTGCCAACTATTTACACAAAGGGCTTCAGCATATCTCATTTTCCACGCTTCTAGGTCATCCCGTGGCGTGCATGCATTAATACCCGTCATTTGATTATCCCATGTCCCAGCACTCAAAGCATACAATTCTGGGTTTACACGTCCAATGCTAGATATGGAAAAACAAGCACATCTCAACAAAAAGCAGTAACACACAACTGAAGCCATCAAATAAGCACCATGTTAAGTTTACATACCTTCCAAAAGGAAAAGGTATACCGAGTAGTGCTGATACAGTTACTGCAAAATCAAGCTGAAATCAAGAAAAACTTAGCAATATTGACAAAATAGAGCATCCATATGGGAGAGGGCAATCAGAATTTACCTGCTGCATAGTGCTGACGCACACTTCTTTCCCATGCTAGAACAGTAAACCATCAGCAGAAAGGGAAATCAATCAACTCT